GCAGCATTTATTAACATGAAGTCTCTAAAGACTGAGGGCAGAAGGAGAAGGGGTTGACAGAGGATGAGATGGTTGGATGGCATCATCGTCTTAATGGGCATGAGTTTGGGCAAACTTCAGGAGATGGTGAAGTTCAGGGAAGCCTGGCGTGCTGCAGTCCATGGGGGTCGCCAAGCGTCGGACATGACTGAGCAACTGAACAAGAACATGCCTTTTCAAAATACACAAAGCAAAAACTGAAAGGATAGACAAATCCACAACTCTGGTTGACCTCAAACTCTTCTCTAAGTTATTGAAAAAACAGACAAGCAATCAGTGAGGATAGAAAAGACCTGGATGGCACTGTCAGTGATGTGATCTAAGTGATGCATTAGAACAGGCCACTCAGTAGCAGGATACACAGTTTTCTCAAGTGCCCATGGAACTGTCACCAAGACAGAGTGTATTCTGGGCAACCAAATAAACCCTAACAAATTTAAGAGGAATGAGAGCATATAGTGTTCATTCTCTGACCATAAGGTAATAAATCTAGAGTTCACAAACAGAAAGGTATCTGGGAAATTCCCAAATATTTAAAAATTAAATGCACTTCTAGGTCAAAGTGGAAATCTCAAGGGAAAGTAGAAAATATTCTGCACTGACTACAAATAAGAATATATCAAGATTTGTAAAATGCAACTAAAGCAGCACTGAGAGGGAGTTTCATAATGTCAAGTGCTTATGTTAGAAAATAAAAAACATCTCAAACGAATTATCCAAACTTCTCCCTTAAGAAGCTAGAAGAAGAATGGCAACTTTAGGCTGAAGGAATGGAATTATAAAGATAAGTGCAGAAAGCAATGTAATTAATATCAGAAAAAATTAAAGAGGAAAATTAATGAAACAGAAATCTGACTATTTGAAAAGGCCAACAAAATTGATAAACCTCTAGCCAGACAGATAATAACTAAAGGAGAGAAGATAAACATTAGCAGTATTAGAAATGAAAGAGAAAACATTGCTAAAGACTCTGCTGCTGCTGCTGCTGCTGCTAAGTCGCTTCAGTCGTGGCCGCCTCTGTGCATCCCTATAGATGGCAGCCCACCAGGCTCCCCCGTCCCTGGGATACTCCAAGCGAAAACACAGGTGTGGGTTGCCATTTCCTTCTCCAATGCATGAAAGTGAAAAGTGAAAGTGAAGCCACTCAGTTGTGTCTGGCTCTTCATGACCCCATGGACTGCAGCCTACCAGGCTCCTTTGTTCATGGGGTTTTCCAGGCAAGAGTACTGGAGTGGGGTGCCATCGCCTTTTCCGGCTTAAGACTCTACAGGCATGAAAAAGATGGTAAGGAAAGGTTTCAAATAATGTTATGTCCTAAAATTTGACAGCTTAGCTGAAATGGACTAATGCCTGAAAGACCTAGAAAACCAAAACTCACTCAAGAAGGAATAGTTAACCATAGATATTAAAGACATAGAATGTATAGTTAAAACTTTCTAACAAAGCAAGCTCCATACCAGATGTCTTCACTGGTAAATATTACCATTCAAGGAAGAAATAATCCTAATTCTACGCAAATTCTTCCAGAAAATTGAAGAGGGAACACTTCCCAACTCATTTCTTGAGGCTAGCATATGCTAATACCAAAGATATTAGAGGAAAAGGAAACTATAGACCAGCATTGCTAGTATACATAAATAAAAGAACCCTCAGCAAAATAGCATCAAGTCAAATTCAGCAAAAATGTAAAATGTATAATACATCATGACCAAATGAAGTTTATCCTGGAATGCAATGCTGTTCAACACTGGAAAATCTGTCAATGTAATCTAAAACACTGACAGATATAGACAAAGCATAGAATCATCTCAATTGATATAGAAAAAGCATTTGACAGAATTCAGTACTCATTTGTGATTAATTCTCAGCAAACTGATATTAGGAATAAATGTCCTCAATACATTAAATGGCATCCACAGAAGATCTACAGCTAACATCTTAGTTAATGGCAAAAGGCTCGATCCTCACGCCCTAAATTGGGAACTGGAAAAAGATGTCCACTCTCACCACTCCTGTTCAAAATCATACCAGAGGCCCTCACAAGTGAAATGAGGCAAGAAAATAAAAACCTAGATTGGAGAGGGGGAAAAAAAATAAAATCATTCTATTTGCAGATGGCATGACTGTCTATTTAGAAAACACCAAGAAATCTACAAGCAAATTGCCAGAATGAATAATAAATGAGTTTAGTGAGGTTGCAGGATACAAGGTCAATATATAAAACTCAACAATATTTCTCTGTACTAGCAATGAACAGTAGGAAGTTGAAATCCTAAAAACAGCAGCATTTACAATAGTACCAAAAAAAAAGGAAATGTCTCACCAAAAACCGAGTATAAATTCCAACATCGGTGCAAGATCTGTACACTGAAGTCTATAAAACAATGCTAAATGAAGTTAAAAACCTAAACAAGTGTAGAGGTATACTGTGTTCACGAATCAGTGCATGCTTGCTTAGTTGCTCAGTCATGTCTGACTCTTTGTGACCCCGGGGCTGTAGCCTGCCAGGCTCCTCTGTTCATGGGATTCAGAAGACTCAATATTGTTAAAATGATAGCTTCTTCCCAAACAAGTCTGTAAATTCTTCCCTTCCAAAATGTACTTTTGTCCAACAAAATGTAGGAATTTGTACATCTTTGGTACAAATCAACAAGCTGGTTTGTAAATTTACTTGGAGAGGCAACAGATCTAGAATAAGCAAAACCATTTGGAGAAAGAACAACTTTGGAAGACTCTCATTTTCTAATTTCAATGCTTACTATAAAACTATAGTAATCAAGACACTGTGGTACTGACGAAAGCCTGGATCAGTGGAACAGAGTGGAATCCAGAAATAGATCCCACATGTGTGGCCAGTTTACTTTCAACACAGCTGCAGAGGGAATTCAATGGACAAAGGATAGTTTTTTCAACAAATGGTGCTGGAACAATTGGTCATCCATGTGTGAAAAAAGAAACCTTGATCCACACCTTGTATCATAAGCAAAATTTGACTCAAAATAGATCCATGACTCCCATGCAAAGCATAAAATTATGAAACTTCAGAACTAAACCTAGTGGGAAAAAAATCTTTGTAACCCTGCATTATGCAAAGATGTCTTAGCCAAGACACTAAAAGAGTGATTCATCCCAAGAAAAGGATAAATTAGACACTATCAAATTAAAAGAAAAGCCTGCTCTTTGAAAAACACTATTAAGGGAATGAAAAGAGAAGAGAGAGAGAAAATATCTGCAAAGCATATGTCTGATAAAGAATCTGTGTCTAGAGTCTATAAACTCTCAAACTCATTGAAAAAATGGTTAAAAGATTTGACCAGATATTTCATTAGAGAAGATGTGTAGATGGCAAATAAGTCTATGGAAAGGTTTTCAGACTCACGAGTTATTAATAAAGTACAAACCAAAACCACAGTAAGATATCACTATACCTATTAGGACAGCTTAAAACAAAACCAAAGAAACCCTGATAATACCAAGTGATGGCCAGGATGTGGGGTGACTTGACTGCTTACACCTGGCTGGTGGAAATACAGGTGCATCCACTTTGAGAACTGGTTTGGCAGTTTCTTACCAAGGTAAACACACATCTATCTTATGACCCAGAGATCTCAGCTCAGGAGAAATGAAAATATAGATTTGCACAAAACCTGTACACAAATGTTTTATAATAGCTTTATTCATAATCTACCCAAAGTGGGAACAACTCAAATGTCCTTGACCTTGTAGATAAGAGAAGCAAATTTTGGAATAGCCATACAATGGAATATTACCCCATAATAAAGATAAATTAACAAATAATCTAGGAAACAGTAAGGCAAAATCTCAAAGTCATTACCTTGAGTGAAAGAAGCCAGACTCAAAAATATAGTGTATTTGATTAGAAACATGTGATTCCATCTATAGGACGTTCTGGAAATGGTGATTGTTGGGGCAGAAAGAAACCAGTTTTTGCTGTGGGCCAGGAGCAGGGTAGGAACAAAGGGGCTCTGTGGGGCTTGGGGTGGTGTTTAAATGACCGTTCTCTTGTCAAAACTCAGAACTGTGCACTTGAAAGGGGAACTCTTACCATTTGTAAGTTATACCTCAAAAATAAAAAAAACATGTAAAGAAAATACCGTGCTGGAAACCAGCACTGGGAATCCTACTATCCAGCTCATGGAGATAACACGTTGTGATTAGTAAACTAATTTCCATTTGGCCAACGTTTGACGGCTCCATAGTTCCATGACTAATTGCTGATTCTTCATGAAATTTTTTTTTTTAAAGATGCTTACTAAAGTTTTATATTTATTTATTTATTTTGCCATACCATGAAGGGTGTGGCATCTTAGTTCCCTGACCAGAGATAGAACGCATGCCCCTGCAGTGGAAGTGCAGAGTCTTAACCACTGGACCACCAAGGAGGTCCCTTAAAGAAATTTTTTATTTTTATATTTTTTATTTCTTTTTTTTTAAATTTCATATTTTATTTTATTTTTTCTTCCATTTATTTTTATTAGTTGGAGGCTAATTATTTTACAACATTGCAGTGGTTTTTGTCATACATTGACATGAATTAGCCATGGATTTACATGATTCTTAAAAGCAAAATTTTAGAAGAATATGAGCAAGTATCTATCTGTACCTACCCATTCATCCATCCATCCTGATGTTATCCTACCTGTTGCAATAGATGGTAAGGATAATTTTTAAGAAGATCCAGCTTTTCTTATTCTGAAATGGGTCTGTGTTATTACCCCGACACAGGACAAATTCAGTCACTCCAATGCATTTTCAGATGTCCATTATCTACATGACACATTTACTGTCAGCCTGGTAGAAACCCCTGTGTGGTTGGCAGACCCTGAATCTTACTGCCAGCTCCCTCCCATTGTGCTCTGCCACCACGAAACAGATGTCCCAGGCCACCTGAGTGTGGGATCTCAGTTCCGAACCACGGAGGAGGCCCAGTAGACTCCAGATCACAGGTCACCTGACGCTTTCAGAGCTCTGTCTCCTTCCTTTCCCAGGGGGGCAGAAGCCAGTTGCCAGGCCACCAGAGGGCTGCCGAGGTGCCCTTTGGGGGTAGAACCATGCAGAGTGATGAAACACTCAGAACCTGGTACTGAAAGCATCTTCAGTTTTTCCAACATTGGTGAAAGCACGGAAGCAGTACAGCCTGGAGTGCAGGAGATGCCCAGCTGGCTCAGCCACAGCACTGCCAGTGGAAAAGGCCAGCTCTCGTGTGTCACTCGGAGCCGCTCACTTCGTGGGCCAAGGTGTCCTGTCCGGGAGTCTGTGATTTTCACAAGCTCCTGGACAATCCCAGCGCCCAGAAACATTTCTGAACTCCGTGGTCGAGGCCCTTGAAGGAGTTGGGACACCGCCCCCACCCCCAGGACAGGACAAGTGACAAGTGTGTTGTGTGGTGGCCCTCGAGGAGGGGACCCACGCTGGCCAATGGGGGACCAGGTGACGAGAGCAGGGAGACGCACACAACCCCCACAGCCCGGTGACAGGTGACGCTGTTCCGAGTGGGACCCAGGCCCTCTGCACAGACAGGCTGCCCGCTGAGCAGAAGCACCCCCAAAGAACTGGGGTGTCGCCTGCAGACACACACTCCAGTCCAGGTGGGGCTGTCCAGCCATCCTCACTGCCCACCTGCAGCTCCAGCCACTCTGTCTGTTCCCGAAGACATCCCCCCTGCACCCCTCCGCCTCTTCCAGCAGAGATGCCAGGCTCCCCCTGCCGCTCATGACCACGTCTGCTCTTCCCAAGCCCTGGAAACATGACTTTCATTTCGTTCTGGGGCTTCCGAGGGAATTCAGTTGGGTTCACGCATATTGTATTATGAACAGCTTCAGGATCCCATCCTAAAATCCAGGTGCACAAAGTTGAAAAAAGAGCGCCAGCAGTTGTGGCCACTTCGAGGGAGACTGTCACACTAGGTGACACTTTGGCCTCCAGGGCTTCTCCCAGAAAAACTCGTTCCAGAGATTTCACTGCTAAGTTGGGCAATAATACTTAACTTTTGCTCCTCTGAAACCTCCTACTTTCAAATATTAGCTTCTTTATTTAGGGAGTTGGCAACAGGCTTAATAACAACACTCCACAGCCAGGATGGAAAAAGCCTAACTGTTCCTGTATTTCATTTAAAATTGATTTTTGACGCCCGGGGCAGCTGTATTTAAATCTTGCTACACCAGCAGCAAATTAGGGCAGGCCTGTATAGTGAAAGGTTTTTATTTTTTTCTGCTTAAGACGAATTATTTAACTGACAAAATACTCTTATGTCACAGAAAAATCCTAGAATCCCTTTTAGAATTGTTCTGTCGGTGTTCACCAATGATTCCAATGCCATCAACCGGCTACTCTCATTTTTAGGGGATGAAGTGGTTCTCATGCTTTGAAATACTAGACGCGCTTCTTGCCACAAACAGATTCGTGTTTAAAGTTTGCAGATGGTCATTAAGTGAAAGGGCTACCTCAGGAAAGGTTAAACACAGCTTTTCTGATCGAGTTAGTGACTGAAGCTGACGGACTTAAAGCAATTCATTGTCTAGTGCACTGTTTTCTGTTGTTACCTTCCTGATGTTGGTAGTTCAGGCACTGGGATGTAATTATAATAATTATCAGGATGAATCTTTTAATCAGCGACCTCTGGACTCCTCTACAAACTGTAACCCTTCATTAACAGGAAATGACATCAAGTTCCAGCTCAACCATTTGGCTGCTACGCAGGGCAGTATTCTAGCATGACAGCTATTTGCAGCCATCCTGTCTCGTCTCCTGTGACTGGCTCCTGGCCACTGGGTCTCAATAAAGAGTTTTCTTGCTTTTACTGCATTTTTGTCTCAACAATCATGGTGAGCATCCTGTACAACACTTAATCTGCCACTGCTCAGAAAAACAAGCACACGTGTCTCTTGACATCCTGAATTGCACATACTATGAAAGACAATGATCTACGGAAACAAGGCTTATAGTCATAGCCATGCCTTGGAAATGATGCAAAAGCTACTTAAGTCACACCCGGAATGAAGCTACCTCTTAAAATCTGTTTTATCTGATACACCCCATTAAAATTAAAGTGCAAATAAAGATGGGGAAATGTAGAAACAGTTGGTTTGATAAGCCAAAGCTCCTAAGGCTTTTCACTGAACGTGTTTAAGTTCAATGCTATTAAGTCCTTAACTGCCCACTAAAGGGACTGATTGCTGTAAAGGATACATTTCCAGGGACTATTAAGTGAGAGTACCAAAGGTCAGCCAAAAGCATAACATTTATATAGTTAAGTCCCCTACTGACAAACGAGTTCTATTCTGAGAGCATGTTCCTAAGTCCAACAAAGTTAGCTTAGATACCCAACTAACACAATCAGCTATGTAGTACTGTGCTGTAATGGGTTTCTAATACTTACCACACAAATAATACATTAAAAAAAAAAACCACTTTAAATCTTACAGTACAGTACCTTGAAAAGTGCAGTAGTACCAGCTACCTCACCACTGCCTTTACCCTTTCTTCCAGGCATCCTGGCCTTCCCTGGTGGCTTGGACAGTAAAAAATCTGCCTGCAATGCAGGAGACCTGGGTTCAACCCCTGGGCTGGGAAGATCCCCTGGAGGAGGAAATGAACCCACTCCAGTCTTCTTGCCTGGAGAATTCCATGAACAGAGGAGGCTGGCGGGCTACCATCCATGGGGTCTCAAAGAGTCAGACATGCCTGAGAGACTAACACCCACCAGACATCCTAGACTTGAAATAAAGATACTAAGCTACTGTACTCTGTACAGGATTGTAGAGCAATGTATACAAAACCCAGTCACTTGTAGAGGGTACTTGGGGTACATGACAAAGTACCCCAGACCCGTGAGCTAACTTACAGGACTGGACATGTGAATACAGGTTCACATCTTTGAAAGTTCCCAGGTTTGTGTGTAGGGGACTTACTGTCCTGGAAAATAAGAAAGTCCTGCCATTTTCATAAGGCTGTTGAACTTTCTAATGTAAGCCGCTTGCGTTCCATCAGGGCTAACCCCCTAGTGGTAGAAACTCTTTCAGTCGTTGCTGTTTGTTGTTTAGTTGCTCAGTTGTGTCTCTTTGAGACCCCACAGACTGTAGCCTATCAGGCTACTCTGTCCGTGGGATTCTCCAGGCAAGAATACTGGAGTGGGCTGCCATTTCCTTCTCCAGGCGATCTTCCTGACCTAGGGATCGAACCCAGGTCTACCGTGTCTCCTGCACTGGCATGTAGGCTCTTTACCACTGAGCCATCAAAGACCGACCTCAAAGAACAGAGGCATCAGACAAGCCTCAGTTCAGTTCAGTTCAGTCGCTCAGTCGTGTCCGACTCTTTGCGACCCCATGAATCGCAGCACGCCAGGCCTCCTTGTCCATCACCCACTCCCGGAGTTTACCCAAACTCATGCTCATCGAGTCGGTGGTGCCATCTTATCCTCTGTCATCCCCTTCTCCTCCTGCCCCCAATCCCTTCCAGCATCAGGATCTTCTCCAAGGAGTCAACTCTTCGCATGAGGTGGCCCAAGTACTGGAGTTTCAACTTAGCATCAGTTCTTCCAAGAACACCCAGGACTGATCTCCTTTAGGGTGGACTGGTTGGATCTCCTTGCAGTCCAAGGGATCCTCAAGAGTCTTCTCCAACACCACAGTTCAAAAGCATCAATTTTTCGGTGCTCAGCTTTCTTCACAGCCTCAGGTGTGTTTAAAAATCATCTTTTATATAATAAAGCTGTTGTCAAACAGTGCTGCAGTTTGAACACCCTTGCCTCCAAGCAGAGACGTTAAATTGTGCAGGAGGCATGCATTCCAGAATAATTTCCTGCTGGATCTCACAACTATTTAAAGCAGAAGTGTGTTGAAGGCGGTCTCTCTCCAGGCATCCTGACCCCAAGCCCATGAGGTATCTTCTCTTCCAGGTCTGGGAAAGGCCCCTGTCTCACTGAATAATGGGCCAGAAACCCCCTCCTGTTAATATTAAAAGACACACAGCTTTTTATTCATCTTTCTGTGTGGTACGAGAGTGATCAAACGAACCACCAAGACTTTTTTGTAACTTGTGTTTCTTAACCATCTCCGAGGACTGGAGTCCAGCTCCATGTCTGGAAAGGAGGAAACGATCGCCCTCTTGTGGGCACTTGTGCCATTGCTCCTGCCACAGAAGTCAGGCTTTGGGGATTTTTCCAAAGTTAGGCTTTGAGAAATGTCAAAGCTGGTGGGAATCTGGGCACATAACAGAATCTAAGTCAGGCATCTGAACTTAATCCTACTGAATACTCATCCATGTGGTATATGTTCAAAGCTCTGCAAATAACCCACGAAAAAGACTGTTTCCAGGAGGTTTTTGATGGCGTCTACATACCAACTGGACTTAACACTTTTCACACATGTTTCTTTTCTTTTTAAGCTCTTGTATTTTATATTGGAGTATAGCAGATTAACAGGGCTGTGATAGTTTTAGGTGCACATCAAAGGGACTCAGCCATATGTATACGTGTATCTATTCTCCCCAAACTCCCCTCCTATCCAGGCTTCCACATAACTCTGAGCAGAGTTCCCTGTGCTATACAGTAGGCCCTTGTTGGTTATCCATTTTAAACATAGCAGTGTGTACATGTCCATCCCAAACTCCCAACTATCCTTTCCTCCCATCCTTACCCCCGGCAACCATTATCAAACACGTTTCTTATCTGTTCTTTTTAAATTAAAAGAAAATACATTTTAGTGAAATACATGATATGAAATTTAGCATCTTAACCATTTTAAGTGTGGAGTTCAGTAGGGTTCATTACATTCACTTTGCAACCAGTCTCTACAACCCTTCTTGTCTTCCCAAACTGAAACTGTCCCTATTAGACAATAACTCCCCTGCCCCCTCCCCCCAGCCCCTGCAAACCACCGACTTTCTTTCTGTCTCTGTGAATTTGACTCCTCTAGGAACCTCACATGAGTGAAATCAAGCAGTATTTGTCCTATATCACTGGCTTATATCACTAAGCATAATGTCTTCAAGGTTCATCTACATTTTAGCAGGTGTCAAATTTTCCTTCCTTTTTATGGCTGAATGATATTCCACTGTACAGATAGACCACATTCGGCTTATCCATTCATCTATCCATGGACACCTGTGTTACTTCCACTTTCTGGCTATGGTGAATAGTGCTTCCGTGAACACAGGTATACAAGTATCTCTTCAATCTCCTGCTTCAATTATTTTGGGCCTATCCCGAAAACTGCTGAATCACGCGGTAATTCTGTTTTTAATTTTCTGAGGAGCCACCATACTGTTTCCATAGCACCTAGAGTCTGCACTGTTTTACATGCTCACCAACAATGCACAAGGGTTCCAGTTTCTCCACCTTCTCATCGGGCGAAGAAAACAGTTTTTAGAACCGTCATTCACACGTAACAAAAGACAGCAAATTTAAGTCAATTCATTTTATTGAGTTTTGCAAAAACATCTTTAAACAACAGTCAAAGAATAATAAAGTATTACAGAAGTTCAAATAGATCCAATTGTAGCATACAGCAGAGAATGTGATTTAAGTCTTATTTTGTGATTTCAATCAATTCACTGTCATAAAATGAATATACGGTCTTTCCTGCTAGGAAATTGCTTCCGTATGTTC